TTTTTAAATGTCAAGAACACCAATAAGCAAATGGAGCCAATGAAATTTCAGACAAAGGAAAATGTATTTCCACTGTAGGTTATTTACTGATGTTAAACTGTAGAACCACTTTTAAGCCTCAGCATAGATGGCGTACTTTTTCAGTGAAAAAAAATCTACAAGGACCTTCAACTTGAAGTTCACTATATACATGTATTTTACGGACATAACTTACTTTAAATGTTGTATTAAGGTGATATATTTGTAACATAGCAAAAACAGCCTTTTTATATTGGTTCTTAGAACTGTAAGCTTGAAGGTGAGCCATATATATCCCACGAATTTTTGTATTCTTCCTTTATCTTTTCCAGTAATTATACTGAACTATACACCTAAAATGCTGAGACAGGAATGTGAGAGAAGTGAGGGATACTGTAGATAGGTGGGATAGGTCAATGGCTTGAACCCATTCTGCTTACAACAGCTACTTACTGCTCCTAAGCAATCAGCTATCTTATCTCTGAAATATGACCATTCTTGCCTAGCTCAAATGTTTGTGCAGATGATAAAAAACGTAAGACAGGTAAAAGTTTTGTGGAGTTCCTGGTATGTAACAGGTATGTGACATTTATTTTTTTGATACAGGGGTAACACATTCCTAATCATGAGCTGTTTTGAGTGCTGGGAATTCCAAGAAGAAAGTAAAGCTCTTGCTCTCAATGGTAGCTCTTGCTCTCAAGTGTGGTAGCAAACTGACCCTACAGGTAGGAGGAGGTAAGTGAAAATAAGTGCTATGAAGGAACAGCAAAGGCAGTAGGTAGAATGGAAGAGGTTTGTGTGTGCAGGCATGCACTATTTACACAGGGTGTCAATGGAAGGCTGAGAGAGTATGGGAGCAGACCTTGCACATGTGAAAGCAAGCTTTCCAAGGAGAAGAAACAAAGGTAAGGTCATGGAGCAGGACAGCATGGGGGTTATGTTAAGGGTCAGGAGTCCAGGAGTTGGGGGAAGACAGCAACGGGCAGGGACTCAGATCATGCGGAGTATCACAGGCCTTGGTAAACTCTTTGGATTATTTTTTCTTGAAAGGAGGAGCCATTGAAGAACTGTAAGCAGATAAGTAATCTACATATATTTGAAAAGGAAACACATAATAACTACTACTATAGTGAAACTGTAAGGGATTAATATGGTACATGGGAAATGAACAGTGCCTGTCATTGTTCTTTAATGTTTCAATCTGATTATAAAATCTGAGTATAAAAAGCAGTTGGGCCTTACGAACATGCAGTTTCTTGAGTCCAAAATGGTGGAACTCTATCATAAAGTTTGATAGATTTATTGGATAGGGTTGATCAAAAAAGCAAAGAACATGAGCTCTAGAATAAAATATAATTGAATTAAATCAGTCAGGACTCAACTATAGTACTGGGCAAGTTACTTACCCATTTTCTCCTTGGGTTTCTGATTGGGGGGGGAAAACCACAAAGTTGTACTGAGTAACTTCAATACTTAGGTAAAATATTCAGCACAAGGCATTGAAGCTTAAGAAATGAGTGAACCAGCTAAGAACAGGAGTTATATCTTTTACACAAGCACAGCAAATGAGTTAATTCAGCATCAAAATCTTTTAACTTTTCTTGACATACTGAAAAAGCATAGTTTACAATACTCAAAGATGCATCAGCTTTTTGATCAAACCCCTACTCCATTTTTACACATTTTGACCTTTAAGCATAATTAAGAAGATAACTATGACTCTAAGAGGAGTCATGAACATCGAGAAATTTAATATATTTGAAGTTACACGTTTTAAACTTTGTCCACCAAGGCAATTCCATTTCCTTTATCAAAGTAACTTAATTAAAAAAAATCTCATTGATCTTTAAGTTAAAAAGTCAGAACAGTCACTAAATGTTTCATATTCCTTTGGTACCTTTAATACAACACAAATTCAGAAGTGTTCTTCAGAATTTGTGTAATGCAAAGTTTAACAATAAAAACCACTTCAGTTCAAAGTTAAGATATGATTAGCAGAAAATTTCAGCTATGTAGTAATTCTCAAAATGTTTGTGTCTATGTTAATTGACCATGTTTTAAAGAACTTGCAATAAAGCCTAGAGACAGATTTAGGGACTGACAAGTTCTAGACGTCAAAGAGTTCAAGGATGCACTTCAGAAAACTGTTTCCCAAACAAATAAATATTTGGAATCCATCACACTGTATAATCGCTCACTGTATTTCTTTTCAAGTTCATAAGATTAAACTGTGACTTGGGCTTTTCCGACTGTTACAGCCTCTTTATTCGTTCTTGTGATTTCACCCTGTCAGGACGACAGCGAGGCCATCATGAAGCGCAGCACCGCAGACACTGTGCTTGCTGCTCCTTACTCGGCTAGGCACCGGGCTCACTTCTGTGATTTGTTTGCCGAATAACGGCCGCAGTCGCAGCTCGCCCCTCTCAGGGC